CTCTAGGAATGCATCCGTTTCTTCCAGATTATCTAATTTGCTGACATATAGGTGCTCATAATATGTTCTTATAATTGTTTGTATTTCTTTGGTGTTGGTTGTGATCTCTCCTCTTTCATTCATGATTTTATTTATTTGGGTCATTTCTCTTTTCTTTTTGATAAGTCTGGCCAGGGGTTTATCAATCTTGTTAATTCTTTCAAAGAACCAGCTCCTAGTTTCATTGATCTGTTCTACTGTTCTTTTGGTTTCTATTTCATTGATTTCTGCTCTGATCTATGTTACTTCTCTTCTCCTGCTGGGTTTAGGCTTTATTTGCTGTTCTTTCTCCAGCTCCTTTAGGTGTAGGGTTAGGTTGTGTATTTGAGACCTTTCTTGTTTCTTGAGAAAGGTTTGTATTGCTATATACTTTCCTCTTAGGACTGCCTTTGCTGCATCCCAAAGATTTGGAACAGTGGTATTTTCATTTTCATTTGTTTCCATGAATTTTTTAAATTCTTCTTTAATTTCCTGGTTGACCCATTCATTCTTTAGTATGATGCTCTTTAGCCTCCATGTATTTGAGTTCTTTCCGACTTTCCTCTTGTGATTGAGTTCTAGTTTCAAAGCACTGTGGTCTGAAAATATGCAAGGAATGATCCCAATCTTTTGGTACCGGTTGAGACCTGATTTGTGACCTAGGATGTGATCTATTTTGGAGAATGTTCCATGGGCACTAGAGAAGAATGTGTATTCTGTTGCTTTGGGATGGAATGTTCTGAATATATCTGTGAAGTCCATTTGGTCCAATGTGTCATTTAAAGCCTTTATTTCCTTGTTGATCTTTTGCTTAGATGATCTGTCCATTCAGTGAGGGGGGTGTTAAAGTCCCCCACTATTATTGTATTGTTGTCAATGTGTTTCTTTGCTTTTGTTATTAATTGTCTTATATAATTGGCTGCTCCCATGTTAGGGGCATAGATATTGACAATTGTTAGTTCTTCTTGTTGGATAGACCCTTTAAGTAGGATATAGTGTCCTTCCTCATCTCTTATTACAGTCTTTGGTTTAAAATCTAATTTGTCTCATATAAGGATTGCCACCCCAGCTTTCTTTTGGTGTCCATTAGCATGGTGTAAATGGTTTTCCACCCCCTCAGTTTCAATCTGGGGGTGTCTTTGGGTCTAAAATGAGTCTCTTGCAGACAGCATATCGATGGGTCTTGTTTTTTTATCCAATCTGATAGCCTGTGTCTTGTGGTTGGGGCATTTAGCCCATTTACATTCAGGGTAACTATTGAAAGATATGAATTTAGTGCCATTGTATTGCCTGTGAGGTGACTGTTACTGTATATTGTCTGTGTTCCTTTCTGGCCTATGTTACTTTTAGGCTCTCTCTTTGCTTAGAGGACCCCTTTCAATATTTCTTGTAGGCCTGGTTTTGTGTTTGCAAATTCCTTTAGTTTTTGTTTGTCTGGAAGTTTTTTTATCTCTCCTTCTATTTTCAATGACAGCCTAGCTGGATATAGTATTCTTGGCTGTATATTTTTCTTATTTAGTGCTCTGAATATATCATGCCAGTCCTTTCTGGCCTGCCAGGTCTCTGTGGATAGGTCTGTTGCCAGTCTAATGTTTCTACCATTGTAGGTTACAGTTCTCTTCTCCTGAGCTGCTTTCAGGATTTTCTGTTTGTCTCTGAGACTTGTAAGTTTTGCTCTTAGATGGCGGGGTGTTGACCTGTTTTTACTGATTTTGAGAGGGGTTCTCTGTGTTTCCTGGATTTTGATGCCTGTTTCCTTCCCCAAATTAGGGAAGTTCTCTGCTATAATTTGCTCCAATATACCTTCTGCCCCTCTCTCTCTTTCTTTCTCTTCTGGGATCCCAATTATTCTAATATTGTTTCGTCTTATTGTATTACTTATCTCTTGAATTCTGCCCTTGTGATCCAGTAGTTGTTTATCTCTCTTTCTCTCAGCTTCTTTATTTTCCATCATTTGGTCTTCTATATCACTAATTCTCTCTTCTGCCTCATTTATCGTAGCAGTTAGTGCCTCCATTTTTTATTGCACCTCATTAATAGCCTTTTTGATTTTGACTTGGTTAGATTTTAGTTCTTTTATTTCTCCAGAAAGGGTTTCTCTAATAACTTCCATGCTTTTTTCAAGCCCAGCTAGTATCTTTAAAATCATCATTCTGAACTCTAGTTCCGACATCTTACTAACGTCTGTATTGATTAGGTCCCTGGCAGTCGGTACTGTCTCTTGTTCTTTTTTTTGAGGTGATTTTTTCCATCTTGTCATTTTGTCCAGAGGAGAATAGAAGAATGGGAGAACAAAATGCTAACAGGGTAACAACATCCCCAGGAAATATACACTAAACAAATCAGAAAAGACCTGAAACCGGGGGAAAAGAAAGGGAAAGAAAAAAAAGAAAAAGATAAAAACAAGCAAAAACAAAACAAAACAAAGAAAACAGAATATGATCAAATATGATCAGCCTGGTGCATGGATCAGTGCCATACACTAGATTTTGGGTGTATTTTGGTCTGTTAGAAGAAAGTGCCTCCCAAAATTTTAAAGAAAGAAAAACTTATATACGTACAAAAATAAGGGTTAATACGATGAATGGATGGAATATGACTGTAAAGATGAAAATTATAAAAGATTTTATAAAAGGAATTGATAAGATAAGAAGTTGGTTGAAAAAAGAAAGAAGAGGATTTAAAAAAAAAGGGGGAGAGAATGTGATCAGGCAGAAGACTAGAACAAAGCCATACACTAGAGATTTAGGGTATATTTTGATCTGTTAGAAGAAACTGTACCACAAAATTTTAAAGAGAGAACAACTTATATGTATACCAAAGATAAGGGTAACTACTAGGAAGGGCTATAATACGACTCTAAAAATGAAAAATAAAAAACATATTTTAAAAAAAGGGATTGATAAGATGTTGGTTGAAAAAGGGAAAATGAAAAATAAAAAAAAAATACAGTTAAAAAAAATTTAACTTTGAAAGACTAAAGAATCATGGGAAAAAAAGCCATGAATTCTCTGTGCAGTATTCCCGTAGCGCTGGCGTTCTGCCGTTCTCATTGATCGGCAGACTTGGTCTTGGCTGGCTGTTCTTGCTGATCTTCTGGGGGAGGGGCCTGTTGCCATGGTTCCCAAATGTCTTTGCTGGAGGCAGAATTGCCCTGCCCTTGCCGGTCCAGGCTAAGTAATCTGCTCCGGTTTGCTCTCGGTAGCTTTTGTTCCCTGCAAGCTTTCCATACAGCTTTGGAGGACAAGAGTGAAAATGGTGGCCTCCCAATCTCTGCCCCGAAGGAGCTGAGAACTTGGGGCCCCACTCCTCAGTGTGCCCCCAGAGAAAAGCAGTCAGTCACTCCCATCTCCCCGGTCACCGGCTGCACTCCAAGCTCACCCGGCCTGTGACCGAGCATTTCTATCTCTGGCACCTGACCTCGTGTGTAGTCTCCAAACCCAGCAGATCCCCACGGTACACTCCCGTGCCACTCCTCCCAGGGGTGGAAGGAGAGTCTCCCCGGATCTGTCGCTTGTTGGGTCCCTGCTGGAAGAGCAGTGGCCCCACTGCGCAGTGGGTCATGGTTTATGGCAACCCCGAGCTGAGAGCCCACTCCTCGGCTCCGTCTCTGCAGCTGGCTTCCCCGCTCCGATACCTGGGAGCTCTGCTGCACTCAGACACCCCCAGTCTTTCTGTGACCCCGAGGGTCCTGAGACCACACTGTCCCACGAGGGTTCCATCCCCTGCTTAGCCACTGGAGCGACGTCCCTCAGAGGAGTAGACTTCTAAAAAATTCCAATTTTGTGCTCCGCTGCTCTGTCACTTGCCAGAAGCGGCCTTTGGAGGCCCTCTCCCCCGCTGTCTATCCTCCCGAATATCGCCTTGGATTCACTTCTTCGCATGTCCTACCTTCCAGAAAGTGGTCGCTTTTCTGTTCAGAGAGTTGTTGCTATTTTTTTCTTCGATCTCCTGTTGAGTTCTTAGGTGTTCAGAATGGTTTGATCCCTATGTAGCTGAATTCCTGTGACTAGATGAAATCCAGGTCTCCTACTCCTCCACTATCTTGCTCTTCCCTGCTCAAACACAATCTCTTTGAGCTTCAGATTTCTCAGCTGTACAATGGGGAAAATACTTAATTGGTAGAGGCTACTGTGAGAATTGAATAAGATAATACATGTAAAATATCTATGACTGTTTTATATACAATTTGTGGCCAATGACTACTAGTTTTCTGCTTATCCAAACATATTTCCTACTTTTATCCTCCATTTTCACCAAATTGCTCTTTCTGAAAATAGCCTGAAATTTTTCACCTCTAATCCTTTGTTTTAATCTCTCTCTCATATGTATTACCTTTCACATCTCAACTTACCTAATTCCTGTCCATTCTTCAAAACCCACATCAATTACCACCATCTCCATGAAATCTTCCTTGATCATTGTAGCACCCAGTGATTGCCTAATAAGCCCATAGGAGCAGTGATCATATATCTATAGACCCCTGCCAGGAGTTTTCCAGGGTGGGGATTCATGCTTTGTTCATAGCGGGAGCTCTGCAAAAGCTTACAGAATGAAAGGAGGAGAGGTTCAATGGCAGTGGCAACATTGGGGTGAGAATGAATGAGATCCTCTCTACAACTTAGACAATGCCATGGGATTTATAATACTCTCCTTATGTTTTTTTCTCCCCTTGAAATGGCCCAATATTTTGTTTTCTTCTTTGCTTAAAGGAAATGACTTTCATGCCTTAAATATGAATGTTGAGCTAAGGAGTAAAAATCAAAAGAACAGAAAAGGTAAAAGCCAAAACAATATTTTCTTTTTATAGTATGGTTATTTATCCATTATCCATCAATAGCAACCTTTAAGCCTCTGTGGATTAATTAAAATGAACAAAATTGGATGTATATCAGCTTTTTCAAATAAATATAAATTAGCAGTTTTATTGCTATAAAGGTTGTCTAGGTTCAGCTATCTTGAGCCATTATTTCTGTTTCTAGTCACCAGATGGCCATGGATATGGAGAATAATATTGAAAAATATCACCTCAATCTACAGCCCCTGGAATCAAAGGTGAAAATGTAAGTTATTTCAAAGTTTACATTAAAGCATTAGTTTTACAGTTCTTGTTTTATGAACTTCTAGACTACTCTGGAATTTGGGAGTACAAGAATTAAGCATTTATTTATTTCACATCTATATGTTGAACATTATTTCCTCTTTGTTCTGAGCAGCAACAAAACTGTTTTGGGCAAACAGCACCATCTGCTGGATAGTTTTGGGGATTATTTTACTGTCACTATGTCCTCATTTCTTGGTTTTTCCCTTTTTAGGCAGAGTGCAGCTCTTCAGCATCCACTAGCATTTTCCACTGTCTTTCATCTCAGTTATGTCGTTGATTCCACCTTAGAATAACTTGGCTATTTTTACATTGGGCCATTTCCTTATTATATACACACACACACACACTTTCAGTCCTCTTCCTCCTATTTCCATTCCACCTCTCTTCCATATATTTTGGAAAAATATCTCTTCTTTTTCTCTTCATGTCCTGTCATTTTCCTTTTTATTCTCTCTTAATAAGGCCAAATGTGAGTCCCCTTCCCCACTACAAATGACTGTTACATAAAGAGGGTGCTAAGAAGGGACGCCTGTATGGCTCAGTTAGTTAAGCATCTGACTCTTGATTTCAGCTCAGGTCATGATCTCAGGGTCTTGAAATCAAGCTCTGCCTCAGTCCTGGGTCAGGGCCCCCACCTCAGGGGCCCCTCACAGAGTCTGCTTGGGATTACCTTTCTCCTTCTCCCTCTGCCCCGTCCCCTGCTCACATCCTCTCTTTCTCAAATAAATAAATAAATCTTTTATTAAAAAAGATACTGCTAAGAACACCTTAATATTAACAAAAATGAAACAGGCAACTTCCAAAGTGAGACAGGCTATATTCTAGAACAAAATAGCAACTTTCTAAGACCATATTTAAGTAAAGAAGGGACCTATCATAATCACCTTAGAAGCAATTTTAAACTATGCTTGCTTTCTGTGATCCTTTCCCATTCTGATTTTCCCTCAGGAGTGCATATAAGAATTTTCAGTGAGATCCTATGTAATATTACATGCACACACACACACACACACAGCTTAACACTCTGAGAGGCATGTATCCGAGAATTTAAACATGTCTGAGCTTGGCTAGGACCACTGATTATTTGCAGAAAAGCCCAAAGAGAAATCTTTTAGAAAATAAGTCACCCTGAAGAAGGGAGCCTTGAGGTGTACAACTTTGAAGAACAATAAGCCATGGATTTAGGAACAAAAATGATGCAGATATATAATATCCTGCTGGATAAAAGCAAATATTAACATAAACCCTTGCCAATTTACATTAACCCTGGTTATCAATAAAAAGCTTGTCTCTGAGTGAGAACATAGAGATACCGTCAAGATAAAATTCAAAGATGGCTTCTGAATCTGTTAGGTCCCTCACTAGGAAACTCTGTGTCATGCTTACTAAATGAATAATAAATCAGGCTACCACATTTTATGCAACCTCTTAAATGAAAAAGTGCTAGAATGGAAAGTTGTTTGTGTGAAAAATTAGAGTGTTTGTTTTGAATGCTGAAATGAAGCTAGGAAACCTCTCCACTCTTTTTTGGTTTTCATCATCCCTAAGATGTAGGCAGAGGGGCAGGTGCCAGGAGAAGGAGCAGGCAAGAAAAAAAAACCTCTCTGGCTGAGATTCCAGCCAGCTCAGAGAGTCTGGGACTTTCCCTGTAGCTGGCTTGATGGAGGAGTCTCAGCTCAGTAAGGTGAAAACAGAATGTTTTTATCTCTTCTAATAACTCTGAACCCCATTTCCACTCACTGGAGGAGGATGAGGGAGAGAAAACTTAATCTTGTCCAATAATGGAATTTGAGTCCCATCAGGGACTCCAGTTCAGTGACACTTGTCTAATCTGGCTTTTAAATTCTTAACACTCATGACAGGTTGAACATCTCCCCTCTAAACACATTAGATCTTTCCTACAGCTGTGCAGCTTGCTCTTCTCTGTATTCTCTCCTCTTCCTAGTTGCCCTTTCTCCTTGGTATTACCTCTCCCACCCCTTATGTGCCCCAGGATTCCCATTAATGCGAAACACTTAGCTCCTAGGCATTGATTCCTTAAAAATAGCTCTAAGGGTTGGGGCTCTGTGAGAAGGGTCATTTGGTCTCCCCTAAGTCCCCACCGATGGTGTAGGCTGTGCCTTTCATTGTGTCCCTTGCTCTGCTGGGACTGTCTCCCTCAAACTGACCTTGGCATCCTCAAAAGGGTGGATCTTGGCAAACCCTCATTCCCACTTCCCAAGGGATTTTCTTTAGACCTGCAGAGCACTGGCTATGAAAGATGGGGCTTTGTCCCAGGTTCCAGAGTCACTGTCAGACTTCACAGGCTTCCTTTCAGGGTCTTCTGGCTTTTGTTGGTGGGAACCTGCTGAACATTGAGAGAAGTGAGGGAAGTGAGGATTTACTATGCTATAAAATCTGCTTTCCTGGAAACTTTCCTTTCCCTTCCCTGACAAGGAGGAGAGGGTTAGTAGGTTCCAATGAAGGTTTTTCTGGACAGTCCAACCTCTGCAAGCCCTGAGGTGGGATGCACCTTGGCAGGCCAATCTGTGAACATAAAAGACAATAAGGAAGATGAGAACTGTTCTCAAGTGTGGGCCTCCTCCATCATATACCTGCACTAGTGAGAACTTGAGGTCAGGGTTAGATGGGGCAGGAAAGACTCTTAGTTGTTTCCTCACACTCAGGCCAACTAAAAAAAAAAAAACAATTTGATAAGAAAGCCTCAACCTCTATGTGGAGTGCAAAGTATCAGTGGAAAGAAGTAGAGACCTGCAGGGAAAGAACACATGTGAGTGTGGGGGTGGAATTTAGAGGAAATGTCAGGAAGGGTACATTACCTGGTTCATGAATGCAACCGTTAACGGGTAATTTTGAGTTTTAGACTTGAAGGATTAAAGGACTGTGTCAAAAGGGAAGAAGCAATCAAGGTTGCACAGCTATTAATAAAAAGTCATTTGGGGGAGGTGAAAGGCAGGTTTTCTGAAGATCAAGCAAAGGCAAGCCTCTCAAGTCAGAAGATTTAGTGAAAGCAAAAGTAATAGTGAAAGCACCACAGTAAAGGCTCTCAACGCAACTCTAAGACTAAAGACAAATGTATTCTTAAGAGGCAAGGCTGGAATGAGGGCCTGGGGATGAAGGCACACATCAAAGGAACACAGGCTCTAGCACAGCAGCCTGACTGAAAGGAAGGAAACAGACTCTCCAAATCCGATAAAACTGCTACCCTTCACATGGGGGGGTCACATGTTATATGTTGTAGTAAGATCTAAAACGCATCTTCTGAATACAAACCATCACTTAACAGTTGTTCATTAACTGTGTGCAATCCCTCTCCTGATGTTTTAGCAAAATATTTATTTTGTTATGGACAACATAGGCATCTATTGACTACAAGTCATTTTTTGAACATCTACTTGTTAAATGTGTCCAATTTCTCTCATTTTTTATTAATGTATTTGATGATCTAGTGATGAAACAACATTTAGATTCTATATAAGAGAGAGAGACACACATACACAGACAGACAGACAGTGTAGACAGTGTCTACACTGGAAGAAAAAGACAATTCCCAGAAGAATTTCAAACATATTTCTTGATAAAGCCTTGTTAAATGTCATTTGTTTGAGAGTAATGCCTATCAACTGTGGTCAAAAGTTTAATTTAAAGAAGACATGAGGAAAGAATGGTTGAGAGCATAGACCTTGGAGTTAGAGCAAATAGGAGAAATCCCAGCTCTGCTCTTTACCCACTGTGTGACCTTGGGAACACTGCTTACCTATCTGGGCCACAGTTGCATTCCTCTATAAAATGGTAACACTAACCATGTCAAAAAGGATTGTAATGAGCTTTCAATGAGAAAATTAAAAAAAAAAAAGACCTAATGTATCTTTTCCATGGAGTTATACTGTTTCCAATCATGTTTTTATGCCAAATTGGGCTAATAAAATATTGCCCTTAAGGATCCTTAGGAACCCCGCATATCATATCAATGTATATGATTAGCACAGGTTTGAGGCTGACTTAGATTCCTTACAAGAATTGCACAGAGGTTATTGTTATTACTATTTTGTGGGTAAGCACAATGTAGGCCAGTAATGTTAGTATTCTGCCCAAAGAGCACAACTAATGAGAAGTAAACTGAGCAAAACTTGTATCTCTGTAAACACACTTAGTTTCTGGGGAGTTCAGTTCAAGATGGCTAATGCAGGAGATCCTGAATTCACCTCCTCCCACAGACATACTGAATTTACAGCTACATATGGAACAATATCCCTTGGAAAAAAAACAAACCTAAAAACTGGCAGAGCAACCCCTTTATATCGGGCAAACGAGAGGGAAACCACATCAAAACAGGTAGGAAAGGCTGGGACATAATCTTTCAGTAAACCCCAACCCCAGTATAGTGACTCACAGTCAGGAGGGAACTCAAAATACAGAAGTTCCTCCTGAGGAATGAAGGATTGTACTGTACATCAGGCACCCCAAATACTAAGACCAGCACCTGAAAGACAAGCGTGCAAAACATTTGGCTTCGAAGATCAGAGGGGTTCCAATGCCCATGAGACCTGCAGGGCTATGGCCACCTGAGGCAGGGCTCTTAAAGGGCCTGTGTGCAGACTCACCTGTCCCAGGACCCCATGCAGAAGTAGCCCTTTGAAAAGTGCCCAGACTTTATGTGAAAAAGACTGGTCTCCTAATTTTGAAGTATGGGTCTGAGAGCCAGAGGCCTGCTGGGATTTTCTCTCGGGTCAGAGAATGGTGGGAGCCATCTTCCTGCTCTCTGCCTTGCTAAAGCTAGTGGGCACCATCTTTTTAAATTTTTTCTTTTTATTTCTTGACTTTTTTTCTCTTTCTTTTCTTTCTCCCTCTCCCTCTCCCTCTCCTCCCTCTCTGAGAAAGAGGTCCTGTATCCCACGGGACTATGGCAATTAGAGATAGTTCTTGGCAGACCACCACTCCCAGGGCACTGCACAGACA